TACATACATAAACCCATAAACCAAAAGGAAAAAGAATAAAACAACACAGCCTTAAACATACCCCTTTATTCAACACCTTAAACTTCACAAATCATCCTACAAATCATTATCCTCACCATTCTCACTATCCCCACCATCCCTTCCCACGCACCATCGGGCCCGTGCGCATTCCGCACCATTGCATCGCGGTCAAGGTCGTCAACGTACGTGAAATTCTTGCATGTGGCAGAGTAGGCGTGTCTCTGCAAGGCTTCGTCCATGACAAGCCACAGGACAGAGCAGTCGCAGGTTAAGTAATTGCCTGTTGGGAGGGAAGGGAAGGGAGGGATGGGGGGTAGGGAGGGAAGGGAGGGATGGGGGTAGGGAGGGAAGAGGAGGGATGGGGGTAGGGGGGGAAGAGCGAGGATGGGGGATGGGGAGGGAAGAGGGAAAGGGAAGGAGGGAGGGATGGGGAGGGAAGGTGAGGAAGAGATAGGGGATGGGGAGGGAAGGAAGAGGGAGGGATGGGGGTAGGGAGGGAAGAGCGAGGGATGGGGGATGGGAGGGACGAGGGATGGGGGATGGGGAGGGAAGAGGGAAAGGGAAGGAGGGAGGGATGGGGAGGGAAGGTGAGGGAGAGATAGGAGATGGGGAGGGAAGTAAGAGAGAGGGATGGGGGATGGGGAGGAAAAGGGAAAGGAAAGTAGGGAGGGATAGAGAGGAATGAGAAGGGAAGGTGAGGGAGGGAGGGGAAGGAGGGAGGGAAGGAAGAGGGAAGGAGGGAGGGATGGGGGAAGGGGAGGAAGGAGGAAGGGAAGGAGGGATAGGGGATGGGGAGGGAAGGAAGGTAAGGGAGGGAGAGAGGGAGGGGTAGGAAGGAGGGAAAGAGTGGGAAGTAGAGGAGAGAATGGGGGAGGGAGAAAGGTAGATGGAGTAGGGAGGGAGGCAGGGGAAGGAAACGAGGGAGGGAGAGAGGGATTAAATCATCAACATCATCATCATTACCATTATCATCATAATCATCATCATCATTACCCCATCACCGCCATCTACCCCCAACACAAATCCCATTACCCTTCCTCTCCTCCCTTCACACTTACCCACGAAACTAACGAAGCCGAAGAAGGTAGACACATTCTTTAAGACAGGGCCAAAGACGTCATATTCCAGCTTGTGAAATCTGTTGTTGGCGAGATCTACCTTCGTGTCGAAGCCGACTCCTGTAGGAAAAGGAAAAAGGGAAAGATGAAAAGGAAGGGAAAGAAAGAGCCGATAGAGTAAAGATAAAAAATAAAAAGATAAATAGATAAAAAAGAAAAAATGGAAAGATAAAAAGGAAGGGAAAGAAAGAGTAGATATAGTAAAGATAAAGAGGAGGGGAAAGAAAGAGTAGATATAGTAAAGATAAAGAGGAAGGGAAAGAAAGAGTAGATATAGTAAAGATAAAAAGAAAGGGAAAGAAAGAGTGGATATAGTAAAGATAAAATGGGTAGATAAAAAGAAAGGGAAAAGGAAAAATGGAAAGATAAGAAGGAAGGGAAAGAAAGAGTAGATATAGTAAAGATAAAAAGGAAGATAACAAATAAAAAAATAAAAGGATAAAAGGAAAAGGAAAAGATGAAAAGGAAAGATAAAAAGGAAGGGAGAGAAAGAAAAGAGAGTGGGAAAGAAAGACCGTGAGGAATAGGGAAAAATCAAAGAAAGAAAAAGAAAGAAAAAAAGAAAAAAAAAGAAAAGAAATGAAAGAAAAAAGAAGAAATGAAAGAAAAAAGAATAAGAGAAGAAAGAAAGAAGAAAACGAATAAGAAAAAGAAGAAAGAAATGAAAGAAAAAGAAGAGAAATGAAAGAAAGAAGATACGAAAGAAAAGAAGAGAAATAAAGAAAAAGAATAAGAAAAGAAGAGATACGAAAGAAAAAGAAGAGAAATGAAAGAAAAAGAAGAGAAAAAGAAGGGAAATGAAAGAAAGAAAGAAAAGAAAAAAATGAAAGACAAAAGAATAAGAAAAAGAAGAGAAATGAAAGAAAAAGAAAGAAATTAAAGAAAAAGAAGAGAAATGAAAGAAAAAGAATAAGAAAAAGAAGAGATACGAAAGAAAAGAATAAGAAAGAAGAGAAATGAAAGAAAAAGATTAAGAAAAAGAAGAGAAATGAAAGAAAAAGAAGAGAAATGAAAGAAAAAAAAGAGAAAAAGAAATGAAAGAAAAAGAAGGGAAATGAAAGAAAAAGAAGAGAAATGAAAGAAAAAAGAGAAATGAAAGAAAACGAAGAGAAATGAAAGAAAAAGAATGAGAAATGAAAGAAAAAGAATAAGAGAAGAGAAAATGAAAGAAAAGAAGAGAATGAAAGAAAAAAGAAAATGAAAGAAAAAGAATAAGAAAAAGAAGAGAAATTAAAGAAAAAAGAAAAAGAAGAGAAATGAAAGAAAAAGAATAGGAAAAAGAAGAGAAATTAAAGAAAAATAATAAGAAAAAGAAGAGAAATGAAAGAAAAAGAAGAGTAATGAAAAAGAAATGGTTTAATCTGAGTGACTTCATGGCAACCTAAGGAGTAACTCGCTCGTGGCTGTATTGTTAGGCCTCTATTGTCATGGGTTTCTGATTGAGAATTAAATCCATCTGGACCTAATCAGCTTCATTATACATAATACATTCATCATAGCTGCCACACACGCAGACACACACACACACACACGCGCGCGCGCGCGCACACACACACACACACACAGAGAGAGAGAGAGAGAGAGAGAGAGAGAGAGAGAGAGAGAGAGAGAGGCAGACAGAGAGAGAGGACAGACAGACAGAGAGGGAGAGAGAGCAGAGAAAACAGAGAGACCGAAAGGAGAGACACGTGTATATACTTCATGCATAGTAGTATACATATAGGTATATATGTGCTGTACGTATCTGTATGTGCGTCTGCGCTGGCATACACAGCAGTACGCAGCCACCACACCTTCTCATAAAAAGATAATTTCTCCCATGTAAATTAGCCTAGTTTGCTAATAGGTAATTAAGAAGTTTTATGAACTTTTTTCTACTTTGGAAGATGCTCAGTTGCCAATTGGTGTAATTTGCATATCTGCCGAAGCCTGAAGTATCGATTCGGGAAAAAGAGGAAATTATGGAGGCAGAATTAGATGATAACAGTCTATTTTACCTCGTGTGTGCGTGTGTACTGCCTTTGAACATGGGGGGCGGTGTGTGTGTGTGTGTGTGTGTGTGTGTGTGTGTGTGTGTGTGTGTGTGTGTGTGTGTGTGTGTGTGTGTGTGTGTGCGTTCGTGCGTGCGTGCGTGCGTGCGTGCGTGCACGTGCGTGTGCGTGCACGTGCGTGTGCGTGCACGTGCGTGTGCGTGTAAATATGAAAAAGAATATCTGACTGTCTATCCATTTATATTTCCTCATGTGTATATTACTTAAGGGAGGAACATTTTTTTCTCGCAATAATCTCAAAAATGATAATACTATCAGCCATTCCCCACATTCTCCCGCCAACATCACGGACGGGCCACGCCGCCTCGCCGAGCATCCACTGTGACTCGCTTTTCTCCTATGAAACTTTTCCCACATTAAACGCGCTCCCGACTTGTAATTAAGACAGGTTTCCCTTGTGAAGAGCTCCTTTAAGCCAAACAGGAAAAGCTTGCCTACGTGGAAAAAGAAAAAAAAAATATGCGCGTGTACATATATCTATATACATGTATGAGTTATATATTTAAAGCGAGAGGAATGAACCGTTGCTTTTCTAGACTGTCTAATATTTGAGCTACGGAGGGGGGGGGGAGTCAGAAAAGACATGAATATGTAAATGCACACATACATATATGTGTGTAAATGCATACACACACACACACACACACACACACACACACACACACACACACACACACATATATATATATATATATATATATATATATATATATATATATATATATATGTGTGTGTGTGTGTGTGTGTGTGTGTGTGTGTGTGTGTGTGTGTGGTTTGTGTGTGTTTGTGTGTGTGTGTTTGTGTGCGTGTGCGTGTGTGCGTGTGCGTGTGTGTGTGTGTGCGTGTGTGTGTGCGTGTGTGTGTGTGTGTGTGCGTGTGCGTGTGCGTGTGCGTGCGCGTGCGCGTGTGCGTGTGCGTGTGTATGTGTGTGCGTGTGCGTGTGTATGTGTTGTGTGTATCATACATACATGGTATATAGACAGAAAGCAAGAGAAGTTATTTTTCAAAAATCCATCGTCAGACATTCTTTTATACCCTCTATATTATCATTTATCTTTTATATAAAAAAATATATAGCACACATCTACCATAACCTTAGTTGACCCCTGACCTCTGAAGACGTCCGCTTCCCAGAGGAGCCCCGGGCCGTTGTTCCGGAGGTCAAGGCTTCGTAGTATCGGGGTCGAGAACCAGAGGTCACCAGTTCCCAGTTGCTGGAAAGGGTCACGGGATCAAACGGAGGCCCAGGACAAGGCTTAAGTGCTGTATCTAGTGTGTATATATATGAATATATATATATATATATATATATATATATATATATATATATATATATATAATATATGTTGTGTGTGTGTGTGTGTGTGTGTGTGTGTGTGTGTGTGTGTGTGTGTGTGTGTGTGGGTGTGGTGTGTGTGTGTGTATACACATATACACACATATTTGTACACATAAACATACACATACGCGTGCACACACACACATACACACACACACACACACACACACACACACACACACACACACACACATATATATATATAAACACTTATACACACACACACACACATATATAAACACTTATACACAAAACACACACACACACACACACACACACACACACACGTTTCGGTTTTTAAATGAAGCGAAACGGAGAGGGGAAAGGTGAATGGGTGAATGAAAGAATAACGAGAATGATTTTGGTGGATGGGAAAAAAGAACTGGAGAGGAAAAAAGGAATAAATGAAAGGTAAGATTGATGGTGATGATAATTATGTGATGTGAGGGTGATGGTGATGTGGATGATGAT